TAAACAATACAATAGCTTCTAAAATAAAGCATATCCATTCATCCATTACTTTTACCCACTTCTTCATTTGAGGGTCACAGGAGTCTCTGGCGTCCATGTCCAGATCATATTATAAATAAAAACAACAATTATTTTTAATACTAAAACTTTTCTTTCTGGTTGAATACAGTTTCTCTTGGAAAACTTAAAATGTTGATGGCCGATCATAAACATGAGTCAGAACAATTACCGTATTTTTCACTGTATAAGTCGCGGTTTTTGGAACAATTTGCATGACCTGTGTCTTATACGCCGAAGTGACGTATTTATGGATTTTTTTCTCATATTTATAAACCAATTTTTGGCTGAGATATGACCGTTTTCATTCATTCAGACTGAAAATATTGAACACTACCATTTTCAGCCGCTAGATGGCGCTCGAGTAGTACGGCATGCTGTTGTGTCATGTAATAGGTAAAAGTGGCTATTAATGACACAGTCAACTTGCCATACTCTTCCACCTTCGTCCAGCTCACTTGGAGCAACAGTCAAATCAGCTTCATTTCGCTGCACCGCCCCGGTGTAATGCAGCTGATTTGACCAATGAAGAAGTGCATTTATTAAGTAAAAGTTCAACTGAGACACACCTTTACTATAATTTCAAGCAAACAAATAATTGTTTTTAAATGTTAATCTTGTTAAAATTCAGACTTATTTATGAATTTTTCCACTTTATTAGGCATATTTGGACTGATGCAACTTATAGGGCAGAGCAACATTTACAGTGGAAAATATACTCTGTCCAAAGAGTTGATGCAAATTTGTGAATAACTGGTGCTTAAACAGTTCACTGGTAAAATAAATGTCAAATAATTAAATAAAACGCAGGTTAGTGGTCAGAGTCAGGTCACCAGAGCTGACCAGTCAGGGCAGTCAGAACACAAAATGTTTTCATTAATCAAAGTAATTCTAACATATGATGTCCAAACTTTGTTTTTGAAACAAGCTACCTAAATAAAGTTTTTATCTGCGATGGACTCTTTACCTGACCAGGAGTGACCCAGCCTCTCACTCTCTGATCTCTAGGATAGGCCCCGCCCACCATGTCCATGAACTACTCTAGTGTTTGATGTTTAGGTGAGACGGCCGAACGTCACAGACAGATTTTCTTACCGCACGGCGGGCTGCCGAGTCTTGCCACTGTGACAATTTTTTGACCAATTAGCTTTAAGATTTTGCCATCAGCTGTTCCAGTGAAAAGGACGTCTGCAAACAGAAAGACAAACACATCACTGAGCACGTGCAGAACTGTTCTGGTTCAATCTGAGCCTAAAACTGGACTCTGGTACTTCAGGATTAGGATTACAGGGACCCTGAGGGAAGAGGGTGAGTTTCTCTGACCTCCGATGTTGGTGATGGACTCTGGTCCAATAAGCTGGTCTTCGAAGAGTCTCTGGGCCTCTCGAAGCTTCAGGTTTGGCTCCCAGCAGCCCTTCATTGAAGGGGGGTCCTTCAAACTGCAGACACAAAGACAGCCAGCAGAATGCAGCAGATGTTCAGGACAGAAACCTTCTAAAAACAGTGCTTTATGTTGGGCTCACCTGAAAGCTTCTGGCTGGATGGGTGACTCAAGGATGAGGATGATGACAAGGAGAGGAAAAAGCAGAAACCCCCCCAGTGACAGCAGAGTCACCTGAAACACCTTCCCACTGTAGGTGCTGAAACGTCCAGAGAGACTTCATTGACATTTGGATTGAGAAGACAAAATCACTTGTCCACAACATGCTAGATTTAAATTTGTCTGGTCACTTGTTTTAATAAAAATGCTGAATTTCCACCTTAAAAGGAAGAGGGGTTAGAGTCTTCCATTGCAAAGGTGATTTGGGGAGGGGTGAAACTAAAGGCAACTCAAAAACCTTGATAAACTAGCAACACATTCATCAAGATGCATGACCTGAAATGAGGAAAACCAGAGCACTGCCCTAGAGCCAGGCACTGGGGAGAGCTCGCCAGCAGGTTTCTGGTGATTTTGATTTGGTTCTTTGGGCTCAGCCTGGAAAATAAAAAAAGAGGCAGCCTCGAGAGCCCATAACCTGTGGCAGGGCATTCTGATTGATGACATGAACTAACTATGGAGAAGTAAACGTGACACCACTGCTGGATAAGACCCAGAACTAGAATGTGAGGTTAGAATATCATTTAGATCTTATGTTTAGATTATATACGTTGTAAATGTTGGTGTTCTGTTACCAGACCTCAGTACTGGGCATAAACTGCCCATAACAAACACAATGTCTGAGCATAGAGTGGTCCAGAACGAGACTTGGTACCAAATCTTGGTACCAGCGCTGTCAACTGATCCCCACTTGATAATGAGTCCTGTGGTGAGGAAGGCTGCTGGACAAACCTGATCAACCCAAACTGAATAAAGAGGATGAACTGTGAACATCTGGTGGAGCCCCTTGTCTGTGAGATCTTCAACATACACATCTGGGAGAGTTTTTGAAATGTCCCAGACAAGGTCGAGGACATGAAATATGTCTGTCACAATAAATACCACTTGCACAATAACACTCATAAATACAACACTGACAATAACAATACTCGCACAATAAAAATACTTACAAAAATAACAGCACTTGCACAATAGTAACAACATTTACAAAAGGAGCGCTCGCACGTTAACAATACTTGCACAATAACTTATATAGCTCCTTTACAGCCAACCAGGATAAAACACAACAATAGTAACAAAAGTACTAACGCAAAGTGCTTTACAACACAATCAGTGACCTCATGTACCACTCCACACACATCACTCTGCTACATCTCTAAAAACAATTAAGGGTTTCAGCGTCTTGCCCAGGGACACTTTGAAATGTGACTTCTTTCTGCAGGAATCAAACCTTCAGCTCGCTCAATGAGGACAACTGCTGAAACCACTGAACCACAGCTGCCCCAATACTCAAACAACTTATTGAAAGGTGCAAATTTTAGATATAAATTGGTTAAAAACATGCATATTGCAGTGATATTATTTAATCATAACATTGAAAAAAATATATTATCGTACTATACTGTTCGCTATAATATTTTAATATTGATCTTTATAAGAAAAATGCAGATGGGGATTGATATGTATATACAGTGTTTGTGTTTCCTGCTTTGTGAGCTCCTGAGGCACAACACCTGTTCCGGTTCGGGTCTCACCTGGATCCTTTGTGTCTCCGCTCCGGAACTTCCTCCGTGATGACCTGCGGTCTGTTCAGCCGTCTGAACCGAACTCCTGCCGACTCGTTCATGTTGGCTCTGACGGTGAACCAGCTTCAGCTCAGTTCGGTTCGGTTCGGTTGGTGGACTGGACTGCTTCAGTGCGAAGGGTCAGTCCTGTTTCAGACAAGAAGGGAGCAGCTTCTTCTTCTGTCTTCATGGCGGCTCAATCAACGTGGTGATGAGTTAGCGACACCTAGCGGCAGAAAACTGAACTACATATCAAATCCCGGAGATTCTCGCGAAATTTCAATGTTTAATTAATACATATTTTGTTCTTCACTGTTCATTACTATTTTTATATGAATTTATTGATCATATACTAAAACACAAAACCAAAAAGAAGAAATGCGAGCAATGAAAAACAAAATAATTTCCAAAACACCCTGAACATCTGGATCCTCCGATAATTGAAAGATATGTTGATGAGTGAAACTCTCATAAATCTATTATCCATCCATGGGACCAGACGACAGGACTGACAGTTTGTGTGATGTTCAGTGATCTTGTTTAAATAGTTTTGTTTTATCATACCTTTATTGATCCTGTAGTATTTCAATTGTTTCTGATTGTGTTCTTGTTTTATTCCTTGACATTTAGCACAGGGTGATCTGATTTAGTACTTCATTGTTTCTGATGTTTTGTGTTTTTATTCATGATGCTGTAATTATAACTTGTTTTTTATTTGATGCTGTGATATTTGTTAAGCACTTTGGTGTTCCTGTTTTAAATGTACTATACAAATAAATCTGACTTGACTATTTCTACTTTTAAATGTTTTATCCTACTTAATAATATCCTATTTAATATTTTTAACTTTACATTTTAAACTGATTGACTTGGAAAAATATACACAGCAATATACCTGCTGTTTCTTAACTTTATATACAAATACATCCATTGAAACTACTAAGATTGGTTCATTCACTGCGCTCCTCGCCATTCTTCCAATCACAAACCATTTAAGTATTCCGAAATGCAGAACTATTAGGCATATACTGGTAAATTATTAAATCAATTTGAACTAGCAGAGCACACTCCAGTAAACTCTGTTTTAACTAATTTCACACAAAAATCTAAAAAAAAACGTTTTTATTTGGTTTAGTTACAAAATGTTTTCTGCAAAACGGTAACAAGTTGTTTGTTTACAACAACAAGAACTGCACCCCTTCACATTCAAAACCCGTCAGGTGACCGTCATGGGAACAATGGTTGGCTCATCAGGTGGGATGAGCAGCCCTGCCATCTGATTGGTCACTGCAGGTCAGGTTTATTCTTCACGTCCTGTTCAGGTCCGACTAAGGCTGCTGAAAAATTGATCCAGAACTTTCTCCACCTCCTCCTCGTTGTAATCTCTCACCATAAAATGTTGGCTGTCTGCAGCTCCTCGTATCATGGCCGACAGAACTGCAAACACACAGGAAGTTATCGACAACCAATCAAGAGTGCTACGCTGAAACTCAGGAAGTGACCTCACTGCGTCCTGACGACGGTCTGAACAGACACAACACTTTCTTTTTCATGTCGACGACTCGGCCCAGCTCGTAGCCGACGCCCAGAGATGGCTGTGTCACTTCAGCAACAATCACTGACACACAGAGGTCAAAGGTCACACATCACCTCCAGACAGCGTTCAGGGCTAAAATGCCCACGTCGTCTTTTATCCATCACAATCAATACAACGATTTGCTCTCACCATCAGACTGCCGCAGCCAGTCTACATCTCGGTCGTGGATAGCTTGATCCCCTTTTGCTGTAGAGTCCTCTCCTGTCCAATCAGAGCACAGCGTGTCAGTGACATCACAGATTATGATCAATCAGCTGTCAGCTGGGTGTTTTCATATGTCATGTGCTTTATCCCCCCAATTTTTGTTGTTGTTATGTTTAGGTTATCAGAGTTTTGTACACTGGGACAGCACTGTGGCGCAGTGGGTAGAGCTGCCACCTCTCAGCGAGAAAGTCGTTGGATGGGGAGGCCTTTCTGGATGGAGTTTACATGTTCTCTCTGTGCATGTGTGGGTTTTCTCAGGGTACTCGTTTCCTCCCACAGACCAAAAACATGCATGTTAGGCTGATTGGTAACTCTAAATTGCCCCTAGATGTGAGTGAGAGAGTGAATGGTTTGTCTCGTTTGTCTCCATGTGTCCCTGTGATGGACTGGAGACCTGTCCAGGGTGTCCCTCATCTCTTGCACAGTGACTGCTGGATATGGGCACCAGTGAACATGCAAACTCCACCTAGAAAGGTCCCTAACTGGGATTCAATCAGGCAACCTTCTCGTTGAGAGGCCACAGCTTTACCAACTGATTTATACACATGCACACAGTGTTGATTTATTTTCACTCTTTCATGACTATCTTTTCAGATTAGAAAACAGTTTGGAAGCACTGTTTATCTTGCAAAACAACAAAACATAAACTTACAAAAAATTATCAAAGTTATAATAAAACTATGATTTAATGGTTTTTCTACATCCCCCAGCCCTAATTTAAATCCTCTCTCCATATACGAGTTTAAGTGAAATGGACCTCTCTGGTTAGATGAACTGGTGTTGGTTCAGTTTGGGTCCTGTATAAATAAAGGTATGAATTTGGGTCAGTGCTGGTTGGGAGGCTCAGTTCAAACTATTCTTGTCTTTTATGCATGACACGTGCTCATTTAAGTCAAATCAGAATGATCTGAGCACTTCTGGACTGATGACACAGCACACATGGTGTTTACGATGTGTGGCTTCCAGCTGAGAACATGTAGCTCCTCGCAAGATGGCCGCCGGAAATCTCACTTACAGCTGTCAATCATTCCAATGTTTCTTTAGTTTAAAGCTAAAGCGCTACTGTGTGCGTGTACGCGTGACACCTGCGTCGCTCAAGTCCGTGTTGGCTACATGCTCGGTCAGCACGGTCCCGTAGCTCAGCAGCTTGCGCACGATCTTCTGGTACAGGTGCACGTCGTCCCTCCCACCACGGATGCTGCCACAGAAATAAATCTTCATGCTCGCTTTCTGACTGATAAAGTCACGCACACATTTACGTTTCCGCTCTGGTAGTGTCACTTCCTGTTATTTCCCGCCATACGGACTGTTACCTGGGTGTTTGCTGCCCTGCGCGCAGACTCGCAGGTCACGTTTCCTAGTCGTCAAACTTCTTCATTAACTTCCCGATCCTACATTAAAATTGAACACAAATCCTAGAACTAATCACCTTTTCCCCAGATTTAAAATATTCCACCAATAATCAGATTATCTGGTTTGGTTGGTGAAGAGGAGCTATCTATACCAGAACAACACTTAAACTGAAATCTGGATCACACTGTCAGTAATTAAACTCTTTTCATATCTGTTTTATCATTATCTGATGAAGCCTTCCGGACAGAAGGCGAAATGTTTCAGCACAAAAAAAGAAACTGTCCAGTTGACCTGACTGAAAAATGTTGGATTGTATACCTGGATTATTGGGCATGGACTTTGTTGTTTTCAACCAGTTTGACAAGACTGTCAACAAGGAAGAGGGCCGGCAATGGAGGAGGGGGCGTACCATAGAGACCATCTTATCACAAGCAGAACTGGTTTGTTCCACCTTGGAGTAAGCTGTTGGGGGAAGAATCAGTTTCGTGTTGTGCGTTTCCTTGACTGATGAAGCCTTCTGGACCGAAGGCAAAACGTTTCAGCACAAAAAAAATAAATAAACTGTCCAGATGACCTGACTGAAAAATGTTGGATCTTTTCATATCTGTTTTATCATTAGGTGTGAGCTTTTAAACCATCACTCTTTTACTTTTAGATTTACACGGATATAAAAGAGTGTTCTTGCATGCTTGTATTTTGTTATAAAATCTTAAACCAGGCCACAAAAAACAATTTCACTTTGAACCACAGTGGTCCAAATGCCAACAAATTTGGTGAAACAGGACTTTAAATAGCAACTGACCTTTTTGCAGATACTAATGTGCATGCACAAAGTCAGTATTTTGCCAAGCATGTTGGTCTAGATTGATTCGTTCCTACTTACGGTCCGTTTAAATTAATCTAAAAGTGTTCATCTGTACTCTAGTCATTCTAAAACCCTGCAACACTGCACGTTGAGGACCGCTATCACAACTTAAAACACCACAAAAACAAATTTATAAATATTCTTCTTTCGGCTTTTCCCTTTTTTAGGGGTTGCCACAGCGAGTCATCCTCAAGCTCACTCTCAAAATCAATAAAAAATGCAGGTGTATAGGACCAAAACAACAGTTGAACACCAGAAAGAGCTATGAATCTTTCTGAGCATGAGGGTAAACCGCTTGCGTCTCTGTATGTGTTCGATTAACTGCGATTTAAAACGCACGCGTTGCAAGTAATTCATAAAATGAAGCAAAGTAATCAGGGTTGAAAGCATGATTGGGTTTACAAATACAATAGAATTTCTTTTTTAATTATCGCTTATTAATTTTTAAAAAAACTGTTGACACACCAGTCACTTCTATTTATTATTTTTCTTCTTTCAGCTGTTCCCTTCTTCAGGGGTCGCCACAGCGAACAAACTTGCACGAAGACCTAGCGATTGTTTTTATGCTGGATGCCCTTCCTGACGCAACCACAGACCAGAGCTACCACAGCCCTCTGTGTGGAGCACAGAGCTGCTATCTAGGGCGCCCGGGGCAGCAGATGATGGGGTCAAGGGCCTTGCTCAAGGGCCCAGAGTGGGACAAGTGGAGGCAGGTGTGAGTGTTTCACCTATCCCACCCACATTTGGATGTTGTCGATCCAGGGAGCTGAACTGGTGACCTTCCGATCACAGGCCCACCTTTTCTAACCTCTGCACCACCACTCCCCACTTCTGTCCATTTACTGAAATGCTCTGGAAAAAAAAAAAAAACTTGCATTAATAGCCAATTTTATTTTACTTGAGTCTTGTTGAAAAGCTTCCAAACAACAAATGAGATTTTTTCAAATTATTTTACTTACACATATAACATTGATATATTAATTTATAGTTTTCTCACTGTGTTTTGTTCTGAGGTCTTTAAAAAAAATAAAAATAAGCAAAGTACATTCCTGGTGGAGTCCAACTCCCACCATGTTATTGCCAGCAATACAAACCAGACTCGCGCTGACTGTATTGAACGGATCATCAAAATAGATCCCCAATCTCATACAGAGCACCCCCCCCACACACACACACACACACACACACACACACACACAGTGCACCTCTGGGAACATGGTCAAATGCCTTCTGCAAGTGCACAAAACACATGTTGACTGGTTGGGCAAACTCATGTCCCCATGAAGACCCTATATGAGGGTACATAAGTCTGTCCAGTGTTCCACGGCTGGGACAAAACCTGCTTTGTTCCTTCTGAATCCAAGGTTTGACCATCAGCCAGACTTATCTAGCACCTTTGAATAGACCTTACAGGGGAAACCGAGGATTGTGATTCCCCTTTAATTAAAACATACCCTCCAGTCCCCCGCTTCGAATTGGAGAACCACCTGGCAATCACCAGACTGGAGTGTCTGCCCATCTACTGATGTCTCTGTTGTTGTTGCAAAGGCCTATCAACCAAGACAGCTCTGCAACATCCAGAGCCTTGAGGAACGCAGCAGATCTCGTCCACCCCTAGAGCCACCGTGGAGCTTTGGAACTACCTCAGTGAACTCAGCCATGGTTTTTGGTACTCCAAACATCTGTTCAGCCCACAGGCACAAACAGTCAGACATGCCCTCGCCCAAAGATCTAGAGAAGCTACTCTCTCATCAAACTCTTATGTGAAGGTATCGAGCCGAGGGCTATAAGTAGGCCCACACCTGCCTGGTACGTCTCACCATGGGAAACTCCAGAGTGGAATAAAGGTCCATCCCCTCTCAAAGTAATCGTTTTTTTCATTCAACCTTAATCCCATTGAGCTTCGAGGACTCATTTACAAAAGAGACCTGAAATTGTATAATTGTATCCAGAACTCGGGCTGCCCGTGGATATATCCAACCTCTCAACCTCAGACAGGAGCTCAGGATCTTTCCCCAGGAGAAAGGTGATGTTTTGTGTTTCAGGAGCCAGTTTCAGTAAGCAAGGGTTGGAGCGCCAAGGCCCCTGCCTTCAGCTACCAGCCAAAGCGCTACGCACCTCATCCATATGACACCCACCCTCTGCAAGTGGACCTACCAGGTCTCTTGGGTAGTTTTGGTCACCAGTGGCATCATTTTGTAATTGATCTTTCTTATTTTAAGTTTTAAGGTAAATCACTTTAAAATGTAGTTTCAAAGAGTAACTTAAAAAAAATAAATAAAACGGTACATTTTCTTCATGTTGTGTCAATGTGCAAAAAAATAAAAAAAAGTTCTTGTAACTGATGATTTGACTAAAATGGTAATAATCACACTTGTGTCATTATCTCCTTCTCCAGCAGCAAAAAGTTTCAACGTCAAGAATCAAATGTGATAAAACCAGTGAATGAACTGAATCAGTTAAAATCTACAGGTTTTGTGTCAGTGGATGATTTCTGGTGTTTTTTGTCTGTTTCACATTTATTAGCTGACAAATGACACATGATGAATTCTCATTTTAACACGGTGCAAAAAACTGAATGAGAAATAATAATTTTAAAAAAGTGTTTCAGAAGTGATGTGTTTATAAATACATTTATTATTTCTGTACACAATCAACAAATCAGCATGAATAAAAATGTACAAACCGATGATCAATCATAACCCAAAACTAAACAGAAAAGGAGCCCCCAGGATCAGTTAGACCCCCCCCCACTGGCATTGACCACAGCAACTAATACACATACTCAAAGTCAGTTATTTGCTATGCTTTGCAGTTTTCATGCCTATTTTCAGTTCTTTGACATCAAATTCACTTTTGTTTTTTGTGTATACTGTATTCGTTACTACCACTGACTTTGACCTTTTTTTCCAACATAGAAATTCTTTAGTTTGATCTTTGTGTTCACGTCAATCAACGGTCCACATTCTTCCAGTATATTCTACCGCAGCTACCAGAAGTACCTTTTGATGTATTTGGGGTGCTAGTTTATGCTTGCGCAATGGTCTCTGTAAAAAGGTTCATCAGTCACTTTCCTGGTGGCAACTCCATCAGTTAGACCTTTTCTCCAACAACTCCATCTCAGTTCCTTTGAGTCTGCACTCAGACAACCCTTTAAAGTCACTCACTAGAGAAGCACTGGACTGGCCAGCCCCTGTACAATCTATGCTAAAGAGCTGAGAAATTGATGCCACCATCTTGAGAAGTGCTGTGTGAGAGCACCATTAGATCCAGACAGAATCGGAGGATTTATGGTCTGCATCCAGCACTTCAAAGAATGTGGACTTGCATTAACTATGGGTACTTTATAAATCATTGCAAACTTTTTAGATTCTACTATCCATTATGATGGCATATGCTAACAGGAAATACTTTATAAATCAAAACATATCTGTGCTAAAGTGATAAATTACACACTGTTGAAGTAGTTAAGTAAAGGTATAGCTTCCAGAAACACGAGTGACTTTATAAAAACTACCAGTTTATTTTGTGTAAGGAGTTTTTGTAGTCCAGAGTCAAAGGGGACAGACTTGTAGGGTACGGACACAAAAACAATTTATGGCTATTGCGAATTAGCTTGGGCTATACACACTGTGATGCAGGCATTAGATTGTTTTGATCGATGTTTATTCTATCTGTCCCTATCAAATAAATAACTTGCTACACTGTAAAAATAATTTGTCAAAAATCAAATTAAAACTGTAATAAAATAGTTGGCTGTTAAATAAATGTAACATTTATGTAGCTATTGCTGCATGAAGTTTCTATCCTCTCTAGTTTAATAGTCTGAGTGAGATGAACTCCAGCCTCTGGGAGCAGAGCTCTGATTAGACCAGCATGTTTTATTTTGGCTGCTCTCTTCTGCAGGGGTTGCCACAGTGAGTGAACTTGCATGAAATATTTAACAGTTGTTTTTCACTGGACGCCCTTCCTGACACAACCTGAGCTCGAACCCATGGCCTTAGGATTGTAAGACCGTGGAGCTGACAGACCGAGCTACCGTAGCCCCTTTAGACTAACAAGTCTTCATTTACAGTTCTAGTCTGGTTAAAATGATTCTAGCGCTCGGTCAGCTTATCACAACAGTGGAGCTCATCAGGTGGTTTAGATTCTGATAAAGCTGACTGGGATTGTTGGGAGTTTCATTACAGAATACTTTGATCTCCTGTTTAACATTATGCATAATATATATTTAATAAAAATTAAAAATTTTGAGCACGACTGACAAAAATCTCACCTAGTACCTTCAGTGGTCAATCCAATGTTTCTCTAAGTCAGTAGTTAGCCCCTCCTAACAATGACTCCACCCCAAGTCAGACCCTCCCTCTGCTGGCTCCGCCTTCAGATAGATGGCTCTGCCCCACCCTCATTGGGTCATCTGCATGACCCCAGGGTTTCTCATGGTGGTGTTGAGTGTCAGTCCCGGCACGTCTCGGACCACCCGCTGCATGGGGGCCAGGTTGGGTCCCTCCAGAGAGTCCAGGAGTCCTAAAAAGAAAGAGGAAAGTCTGGTTGAAACTAGGGGCGGAGCTTCAAATTGACAAGTTTTCTGCTCAGTGTTCAAAAAAATGAGGGGTGTCGGTGAGGAACTGTTAATTTTTCTCCAAAAGAACTCCATATTGTGCAGAAATGCAAATCAGTAATCATGAGTAAAAGTGGACATATAAGCAGAAATATTACGCCTACAAGGAACAAGCTAAATGAGTCTCACACTTTTACATAAAAAAAGAGCGCAACAAACTGATTTCTGACTTATAGTGTTGTGTAGTCTGTTGCATATTATTTAATATTCTTGTAGAATAACATCGTCTGCATGAAGACTTGTAGAGTCAAGTAAATGGTTTTTTTTTGGCTTTGTTTATTTTATATACATTAAGGATCCAGCTAGCGTTAAAAACTACACAACATGGCAAAAACCTTTAATGTGTGTGCGCTAACACGGTTTCATTCATGTTTGGCACAAAAACACTAGAAAGGTCAACACGAACACGTCACTCCATACAACCATTTTCAAAATCTCTGAAGTGAAAACTGAAAAGGCCAATGAATACAATGTTTTCTGCTACTTACTTTATTTTCGCAGACTGTGTGACTAAAGTGGTGCCACTGACAGCTGAATTGAACCAACAGTAGTGGTGTACAGATCAATTCAAACACCATTTATATTTATTGATAATGTGAGTACTGAACTGATATTAGAATGATGGGATTTATACTTGCTATTTGCTTGGAGGTTTTAATTGAAATCTGTTCTGGGTTTTAAAAAGCAAATATTCAGCTGATTACCCATGCAAAACAAAAATCAGTAATTAAATAATCATAAAAATATATTCAGATTCAGTATACTGCTAAAACATGACACACTGCTCTACCTACATGAAACTGTATAGACTGCCAATTTAAATTAAAAGCACTGAATCAGACTGGTACCTGCCATGTGTGTACTTTGTATCGGATCAATGCCACATTGTGCAGCACGGCACACCACTAACTAAAGATAACCAAGTGACAGACATGAGGTTCAAGAAACAAAAAGTTTAGGAGCTGTATGGTCCATTTCTGGGGTGTGATGAGACCGCCATACTAAAAATTTAAGAATAATTTGAAAAATCAGCATTTCTCTCTCCTAGCATTATCCAAAGGGAGCCCCCCACCCCACAACAGTACTGCCCACCTCATTTATTTAATTATTCATTCATTAATTTAAAAGAAACAAAACAAAATTAATAAAAAAAAATAAAAAAACACTGAATGAAAAGAAGAAAATTCTTGTATCGGCCCCTTATTAAAAAAAATAAAATAAAATAACTACAAACAACAACTCGGGCTTGAACAATCAAAGTGAAAACAAAAACATCAGGCATTCTTCACATGGCATCATACTTTTCTAACAATTTTAACTTAATCATCTTTAAACATATAAATTGTTTTAGAAAATTTTATGGTGATATCTATATGTCTTTTCTCTAAACTTCATTACAATAGATTAAATATGGAACAGTCATTACATTCTACAATATTTACAAAGCTTTGTCATTCAAAAATTATTTTACTTTATACAGTAATGCAATTGATTTAGCTATTTTTATTCTTAAGTATTTTACATGAGATTTCCATGTCAGCTTCTCATCAATAACAACGCCCAAAATGTTATTTCATTAACTCTATGAATTTCAATGCTGTCAATTTTAAAGTTGTTGTTTAAAGTTAAAACTATTAATATTGACAAAGTTGAGAATTTTATGTTTATTTGATGGTGATTTCAATTTTTTTGAAGTTTAAATACAAATAAAAGGTGAACATTAATTTATTTATATAGTTTGTAGTTTTTCTGAGGCTTTTATATTGTTTATACTGATATTGATTTATATCGTTATTAACTGAAATTAAGAAATATATTGTGATAAAAGTTTTGGCCATATCGTCCAGCCCTACTCTAAACCCATACTGACTACTACTTAAAATATTATCTATAAATCCATCTAATCTGGTTACAAATGAAAGTCATGGCCAGATGGGTTCACTCAATCTGGACAAGACCAGTCATTTACTGCTGTGCTCCTACTAAAACCCCACAGAGACTCATATGTAGACTCCATTAGTTTTACCTAAAAGGTACACAAACCTACTCCCATTCTTCCTTTTCTAACTCTGATTCTGAGCTAGGTTCTGGTTCTGACCTTCCAGGATCTGGTGGTAGCTGAAGTGCAGGTACAGCAGGAAGCTCATGTGCAGCAGCACCAGCGTCCCACAGAGAAGCAGACGAGGAGTCTGACCCACGGTCCGAGACAGCAGAACTGCTACCTGAAAGACACAGACGTGAATCCAGACAGAAAGTACACCCCAAGGGGCTGATGGGAATCGTGGTCTTACCATTCGCAGCGTTGACAGTCCTCCAATCAGCAGCCACATGGCATAGAAAAGGAAGTGGAAGTGGATGTTGTAAGTGACCATTAGGACAACACAGTGACCGAACAGACCATAGCCCTGGCAACGGCACACAGGAAGTGATGTCATACATCAAGCTGAAGAAAGCGTGAGTGGAGCGAGTGGCTTTGGTACTGACCAACAGGGACAGCATCTGCAGCATGGTGATCTGAGCATTAACCAGGTATGCCAGGAAGTAGATGAAGGACGACACACCAAGCCAGTAACCGAAACAGGTTCCTATGGCTGTGCCCATCAGAGTCCCCTCCCTCTGCAGGTATAAACAAACAGTCTGTGTTTGTGCTGTGCCTGTGTGCAGTCCTGAGCCCTATATCATGAAGCAGGATCAGTGTCTTATCGAGGTAACTTCAGGTTTAGATGAGGATTTTCAGTATCACAAAAGGTGGCAAATTTGATACCTGGGTCTGTTACCATGGTTACTGATGCTGGAAACACCCAACCTGTTTCAGAGGACAGAGGTTTTCCAGAGAGGAGATTCAGAAAACTCTAAGTTTATTCATAAACTCTGAGTTAAATTACAACTGTTTCCAAAGTTGTTGGTACTTGGCGTAAAATGTCAAGTTAAACAGAAAGAAATGGTTTGAATTTTAATAAATCCATATTTTAGTCCAAATAAAATATAGTAAACACCTAAAATGTTTTAACTAAGAAATTCCATCCATTAGTTATGAGTTATAGCCGAGTTATCAAGTTGATAACCAACTTTGCTGAACCCCTAAGTACATTTCCTGAATGTTATGGTTTGTTCAACCAGACCTATTAAAAACAACCAACCAAAAAAAAAGGAGTCATTTGAACCCGTTTAGGGCCGAGGCTATGTTGTGTTCGTGTGTTCTTACAATCACTGTGCCAGATGTCTTCATGCCATGCAGCAAGATGGCCACCAGAGTAAAAACCAGCATCAGTGGGCCATACAGTTCACCTGCAACCTTCTGCATAGGAATTAAAACAATGTGAGAGGACTCACACCTGACATTGAAAAAAAAAAAACTGTACGCATGTGAGTCAAACATACCTGAGGGAAGGTGATCATGCGGACAGGTATCATGGACTCTATCAGTCTGAGGGGAGACACCACAGTATCACAACAGGAAGCAGGAAACAGATGACAAGAAACAGGAAGTGAACTTCTTACCTGCTGCGCACCTGTGACGGCTCAACGTCAAAATACGGTCTAAGGATGTCGATGTTGGCGTACAGGTTAAAAGCTTTTGAGGCCTGTCTTTTTCCTGCCTGCCACACCTGAAGGAGGACACAAGTTTCATTACCTACAGTAACTTTAAATCTGATTTATTACAAACATCCAGAGTAACAAGTTGGTCCATAAAAAAGGAGCAGCTGATTTTACCTCGTCAGCCACCTGTCGACCCAGCTGACCCTTTATTCCCTTCATTCCCAGAAACTCGCCATCCTCAGTGCTTTCGTCCTCTGCGGCGGCCGCCTCAGCCGTGACCTCCTCCTCCTCCTTCATCCTCTGATGCATCTCCCCAACGTCTTCAAAGCTGGATCCTGATGTGTCATCCATGTTCTCCATGTCGATGACAGCTGAGCCGCTGCCCTGAATGAACCAATCAGAACACAACAGTCAGTCACGTGATCAATGATTGGAAGATTGGTTGGTTAGGACATCACATCGATCACATGAAGGCATAACACAGGGCACATTCTTTTTTAGTCAGTCGGATGATATACTGTGCGAAAACTGTTGATAAACATTGAAGGGAGGATCCTTGAATACAGAGCAAGGTGTTTGGTGGTGGGAGGAGTCTACCTTAAATCAGGAATGACCAATCAGTTATATTTGTTTATGAGGTCATTTAACAGCTGACAACATAAACGGCCAACAGCGAAAGAATATCAGAAATTCCCTGTTGTTTACCACAAAACCTGCAATTTATTGAATTCAGCTAATTTTTGGACTTCATTAATAAAATCTGGATAGTGGCAGCAAACTAACTTTGTTTCATTTACCAGTTTAAATTTATCGGTCGTGTGTATTAGCTGCTGGTCAAGCAAGACATTCAGCTGATGTCCAGACTTGAAATGGAGAGTAAACCCCACCCACCCAGCTAGCCGCTTCTTCACCCAGGCTGCAAATGGTGTGAACCCACTGACAAAAAGTTATGTTTGAATGTCAAACCCACTTACAAAAGGGGGCCAAAATTAAAAGCTTTTTTTCAAACTAAGGGCTGATTTCAGAACTCAAATCAGATACTCAACATCTTTTCTTGGTCACAGGCTCCTCAACAAGAGTTTGATTGGTCTCAATTGATGTTCTCTGTTGTGCTTTCGACATCATAATCAAAGATTACTGAAAAAAATTCAAGAGATAAAAGCTTCACATATCATCTTGGGGGCCAGACAAGATGTCAACAAGGGCCACATTTGGCCTACGGGCCTTGAGTTAGACATGTGATGGATTCTATCTGACACAGCACATGTTGGGTTACAAACTGTTGGCAATTCGTTACAGAGAACTAGTTAACAAGTATGAACATCATAGAAGGGTTAATCCATCACCTGGGTCGGTCTGCTCCAGTTTCTGGACCCAACTTAACTCATCATTTCAGCTTTTCCTTACAGTTCCGTCTAGTTACAGAGTAACATGGTTATTTATGTAGTAAATTAAATGTTATTAACGTGCCTACTTAACATGTTAGTTAACACCTGGATTAAGTTTTAAGCCTGGTTTAATTGCCCATTTCGTTTATGTCCGGTTAGCATATTACTTCACCTAGATGAGGTTTTATGTTCGGTTAGTTACTGTCAGGTTGTTTAAGTGAAACTGTGGGTTTAATAATACTAGTTAGCTCACCTGGTTAAGGTTCTCTTCTCCGCTTAGTTATCTGTTGGTTTGTTTTTTACCTAGCTGGTTAGCATGCTGTTAGCTTACCTGGATGAGGTTATCGTCGAACCCTCCCCACGCATCCGTGTTCGTGGTTCTAGATCCCGAAGACATGTTTCTGTCCGCGGCAGCGTACCGGGTAACAAACACACTTTGACCTAGCCTCGAACCGAACAGCTTGGACTGGTATTTTTTCCTCCCTAAAATGGCAAATAGCTAATGTTTTAGTATTGTGTTCCTTTGTTGTCAATAAAGTTTGAGAAGAAAAAAAATAACAGGCAACTGGCTCCGCCCACATAGATGTCGTCAGAGCCTACGTGGCCATAATACATAAACGAGCAAACAAGAAAAAACAAAACAAAAAAAAAAAAACCGAGCATATAAGAACAAATAAAATACAAATAAAAAATGGGACTTCACCAAGATTTGAATTACAGCGGGGCATCCGACGGGGCTGTCCAGCCTCTCCTTATTTATTCATCTTATGTACTCAACTTATATTCACTCCTATAGAAGTCCATTAAAAGGTATTTTTATTGCAGATAGATGATGATACCACCTTGTTCTAAAATATGCCACCCAGACAATAGACATGTTCTCTGCAGCTTCTGGACTCTGCTTAAATCTGAAGAAATGTGAGCTTGTTCTTATTAAAGACTGCTTTAAGAATCTGTTGGACTCCTGGCAAGGACCAATGCAGACATGTTCCTGTTTTTAGTTTTCTACATTCGCCTTATGATCTACCTATATTTTTCTATTTTTGCCACCTTATTTTAAATTGTTAAAAATAAAAAAAAACAATCTGTATGCCTCTTTTATGATTGTCCATTGTCGTCGTCATTCTTTGTTGAAATCAGGTCTTTCTTGTAAATGAGTCCTCGGGGCTCAATGGGATTAACCTGTCTAAATAAAGGTTGAATGAATGAATAATATTCCAGTCAAAAACAAACTCTCCTTACCTCAGAATTACAATAATGAAAAATCAGATTGATGCACAGAAAATTTTAACCTGATTATTGAAAAAATAAGGAACCAACAGTTTCAAATAGATTTATCTCTGAAAAGAAGAACATTGTTAACGAAGGCAGAGGGATTGTCTCGTCTCACATACACAGCTATCTCTTTCTGTCAACAAGCAAATCTGTCCATTGATAAGTTACTATTCAAATTTAAACGGTAAAATAAAACACATTATGAGTAGAAATCTGTTATGATGAACATTTCAGGTGGTCTAAACTTTCTCGACTTTACTACTCTTAATAATAACTGAATAAAGCAATTTTTACAGAACCCTACATCTACGTGGAACTTTATACCCACATATGTTCTATTTCGTATAGGCTTCGCCCTTTAAGGCTATCGCTAAGGAGTTTATCCCTTCGCACGCAGCGCAGCACTGAAAACTTTAGTCCATGCCCACCTGCTGTGTGGACCTCACCCCCGGTCTGTATAAATTACGGTGAGACCGAGTAATCAGCTCCCATTTTTTCTTCAGCCAGCTAGCTAGCACTGTCAGAAGAACGAAAAAGGAAAAGTTGTCCAGCTTTGACCAGCACAACCTTTGCTAAGGATGCTTGGGTCTCCGCCAAGCCAACCTCCTGCCATCCCTGTGAGCTCTTCTTCCCCGAGGAGAAGCAGAGACGAGCAGCCTTGTTCAAGGTAAGCACTGAGGAGTGCTTTTCCGTGGCGGGCCGCTACCCACTGGACGACGCCATCGCCTTTTCTAATGTTTTTTTCCTTGCAGTGAATCGGATGATTCCCTTGAAAAAGGCGATGCGGACAGCAGCTCCGCTGAGTGTTTTTTTCCGTGGCGTGACGCTATGCGCGGGACGACACCACCGCCTTTCTTTAACGCAGAGTCACGCAGTGAATCGAATGATTCCTCCGAGAAAGGTGATGCTGGAAACAACCTCACTGCCCCTTCCCTTCTGGAGAGCATAGTGACAGAAGAAGAGTGGTCGAACGGATGCTCAGCCACCTCGGGTCTTCCCACGTCGGCGACCACACCGCTCCCAGCCATCGGCGCCCTCCTCTCGGAGTTGCCCGGCATAATCCAGGAGGCTGCTAACACAAGGGACTTTCTGTCCCTTGCCTCCCTCCGCCCTGATCGGATGATCTGGCGGGAAGGTTTGGCTCGTCGCCCTGATCCCATCTGGCCTCGCTATCCAGCTATGACGTCACATTGGAACAAGGCTACAACTGGGCCCGACAAGCTGAAGACATCCGTCTCCATCTTCGCCTCCATCTCCAGAGTAGAGGGTTTTTACCGATCAGTGTTTTTTTTCCCCTCGATTCTCCACCCTGGAGCCAAGCCTGGTGGAGGCACTTGGGGCAAAAGCTTCCTGGATGGACCGGCAACCTATCCCTCCAGGAAAGCATGACCACAGGGTGAAAAAGCTTTCCAACCGACCTCACCAGTACACATCCCAGGCGGTCGCAGCGAACAACAACATCACTCGGCTGGCCTACAGCCTCTCAAAGAGGATGGAGGAAGCAGACCTGCTGGAGGAAACAAAGAGCTCTCTTTGTAAAGCCGCTGACATCATCTTAAACATGTGTGCCACCTCTGCAATCTGCCTGTCCCGCATCGCCGCCCAGATGACCATGATCCAGAGGACTACCTGGCTCTGCCTCTCTCCATCCTTGTCCGAGAGGCTGCAGAAAGACCTGCTGGAGGGCCCCATCACTCCAGAGGCGCTGTTCGGGGCCAACTTCAGGATCATCCTTGAGAAATCGCAGAGGTCCGAGGAGGTCTCAGAAACTGTACATCATCTGGTGACGTCACAGTCCATCTGCCCCTCCGGCCGCTGGAGGGACTGCCTTGGCCAGCAACAGCAGCAGAGACGCTCCACAGCTGCAGCAGCGACTTCACGCTCTACTCTTCCGCCGGCCCCCTCCACCAGGTAACAGATCCTTGAGGGGAATGTATGTTTTTTGATGATGTATGTTTTTGATATAAAACAGAAACACCTTTGAAAGTAAAGTTTTCATCTGAAACTGTCAGATCAGCTGATCTCACAGCTGCCTCTCTTCACACATTCCACACACAGAACAAGCCAGTAACCTCTAAACAGCGTTTTAAGTGGCACCGCAGTTCAGTAAATATCACAAAACACTCGTCTGCCACGTCAGCTAAAATGATGTTTTTTCAGCAGACCGAGTCCGGTAAAATCCCTCGTTTTCAGCCAGAGCCTTTTTTTTAATTTCTGCTGTTTTCTGCCCACTCACAGCGCAGAGGAAGTAAATGTGTTTCTCCATGACAGCTGCAGCCTCCATCGAAATGGCGTCTCACTCAGAAAGCGCTCACGCCTCCTCTCAGTGTGCGTCGGCTCACCTCAGCTCTAATGTGAGACCGCAGCCTGGGCTCAGCACAGAGGAACACATACAGCCCTTTTCTTTTGTCAGAGCACCCCTTGGGTCCCCCCCGGAGAATCTCCGAAGCGAGTGATGACAGTAAGGCTTTTTAGTCTGGTTGACGTTCATGAGAAACATGACACAACACAAATGCGTGCCCACTCTCCGAGCACTACTCAGAGTGGCAGCAAGTGTGTTCCCTGGACAGATGGACGGACCGTCTGATCAGAAGGGGTTACACGCTGCAGTTCGCAGCTCAACCCCCACCGTTCAGAGGGATTATAGAGATGGTTCTGTCTTCTCCAGAACAGAGCTCGTCTCTCCAGTCAGAAGTTCAGGAATTTCTGATGAAAAACGTGATTTCCAGAGTTCCCAATAGAGAGGAAAATACGGGTTTTTTTCCTCCCACTACTTCCTGGTTCTGATAAAAAACCGGAGGGATGAGATCCATTCTCGACCTGTTCATGTTCAGCAATTCGATCATGGGGAGACAATTCCACATGCTGACAAACAGCTGCTGGAGAACTTCACCAGAACGACTGGTTTTCACCTCCATAGATCTGAAGAGTGCATATTTTCACATTTCCATCATTTTGAAACACCCCACGCATGTTCTTGAAATACGTGGAGACGGCTCTGCAGTTGTTACACATGGCAGGAATGAGAATTCTTTTTATCTGGACGATCTGCTTTTATTAGCTCGGTCCAGTTAGAAAGCAGTCGCACAGACCAAAACGCTAGTGTTACACTTGAAAAACCTGGGGTTCTCTATAAACTGGGAAAAAGTTCAGTTTGTACATCCCAGATGTTTGTTTATCTGGAAGTGGAGCTAAACTCAACTACAATGAGAGCCCGTTTATCACAGCTGAGAGCCAAAGCTCTGTCAGCTCAGCTCCGCTGTGTCAAACTCTGCAGCATAGTGACAGTCTGCCTGTCATGCGACACCTGGGACGATGTCAGTGGCCCACATCGTGGTTCCGCTGGGTCTACTTCACATGAGACGCCTTTAGAGATGGTTCGCCCGCCTACGCATAGATCCTGTGCGCCAGAAGAGGCGGATTATCTTTTTGCCCCCCTCCGTGAGAACCGATCTGAATCACTGGGGAAAACCCCTCATTCTGTCAGAGGGAGTTCCCATCAGCAGGCCTACGTCACACGTCTCAGTTTTCACAGACACGTTCCTGTCAAGCTGGGAGGAATGTGTCTGTCCCAGGCAGTGGGAGCACATTGGCTGGACCACATGTCGTTTCACATGAATGTGCTAGAATGTTTTCACGGTCTGAAACGTGACTCAGCATTTTGCCCCCTGCTGCGGGATCAGCATGTTCTGATCCACACAGACAACAAAGTGATGGCAGCTTACATAAACCGTTAGGGAGGTGTGTGCTCAGCCCAACTGTTACGCATCGCGAAACAGCTGTTGTGTTGGCCACGAATAGGGGAGTGGATATCATGTCGAGGGGCGGTCCCCGCCACAGAGACTGAAGCCTCCATCCCGAGCTGATCTCTTGGATTTGGAGCAGTGGATCTGTCCGCCACACGGGAGAACGCCCAGTGTCAATTATGGTTCTCACTAAGCCCACGAGACGACCGACCATTAGGAGTGGACGCCTTCGCTCACAGCCCGTGGCCAAAAATGCTCATTTATGCACTTATATCAAAGTGGACAGCTTTTCAGCGCTGGTGCACCGAGAAAGGTGTAGAGGCCATCTCATGGCCACTAGGTGGCATGCTGTCCTTTCTGTAGCAACTGATGGACAGAAATCTAGCATTCAGCACAATTAAGACTTATGCTGCAGCTATTTCTTCCTGTCATGAGGGCTTCGGTGACAGAACAGTTTTTAATCACCCATTGATGAAGCGTTCCCTGAAAGGTGTACGGAGACACAGACCGGTGTCACATCCACTAGCTCCACAGTGTGACCTAATGATGGTCCTGC